TTGCCTCGTCCCCTCCCCTCTCTTCCTATTTTCAGGTCTCGGCTGAAGACCTTTCTTTTCGACCGCGCCTTTGGTCACCTTCCGCCCCCTCCCCCTGGCTCGGCCCCGGGATCCATTACTGTGAAGCGCTCTAAGACGCCGTCCGGCGTGGAGGGCGCTATATAAATCCAAGTTGTTGTTGTTGAGTGCGTGCGTGTACACGTGTGGGTGCGGGCGGGTCCTTCCGTCCGTGCGTGTGTACGCGGGCGTGTGTGCATGTGCGGGGGGCATGTGTGTCCGTGTCTGTGTGCATGCCTTGTGTGCGCGCGTGACCGTCCGCGCCCGCGCGCGCGTGTGCGCGCGTGTACACATTTGTGTATATATCTGCGTGTGGGCGGGTGGTGCTGAGATGGCATACCTCTCAGACTCTCCCGCTCGTCACAGACGGGGCCGATCTTCGAGCAAGAGGCCCGTCGTCGCGAGGCGTTGCGAGTCCAATTAATTTAATTGTAAAATATGATGGGAAATCTTGTCACTCGCACTCGGAAGGTCAACGGCACGCCACCCCTCGCTGCGCTAATCAGCAGAGTGAGCCGGAGAGGCTAAGTGATAGCATCTCACCATCTGCGCTGGAGTCCTTAATTTTAGAAACCTGGCATTTCCATCCCTGACCTCAGCATTTAAATTGGTTGCCGCAGCCTCTCCCCTGCCTTCCCTTCTTCAAGCCCCAAATGTCTTTGTCTAACAGATGTTGCTGGTACTACATCATTTACTCCTAGTCTTCCTTAATTACACAGTTTAATTAATAGTCAAAACTCCATCCTCTGCACGCAGCAATCCCAGAGGAGTTGGGGTTCTGCTGGCAGTCTGTGTTGATGGAGTACAATTAGGGATGAGATTTTTTTTTTTTGGGGCTGTAATCTTTCGTTTTTATTCTTAAAGTCTTTATTCCGCTGACGAGCGGGGAAGCATTTAACGGCGACACTTTATTCTGCTGAATGGAAAGCCGCAGGCGCCGCCGATTTCCGCAGTTCACGAGAGCGTCTTCACAGCTCGGGGGGTAGATCGCAGGTTCCCGCGAAGGTCGGTTCAGAGGAAGAAGAAGAATCCTCGCATTTGATACAGCGCTTTATCGCGTCTTCGAGACGTCTCGAAGCGCTTCACAGGATACGCTGTCACGTGAATTGGACTGTGTGTCTTGTGGACGAAACGCGGCAGCCGATTGCGCGCAGTAGTGTTGCACAAACAGTCGTGGAGGACCTTCGACCCATCTGAACACATCCCTCCAAAACGTGCGGCCCCTAACGTCTCTCTCCCTTCCATCACCCCTCGCCCTCCCCGTCACAGCATCAAGCTTGCTTTTTAAATGAGTCCCAGTGCCCTGGCCTCAACCACCCTTCTTGGCGCCTTGTTTCAGTTATTGATTACCCACTTCGGGTTTGCAAACTCTGTTTCCAATCCGGTTCTTGAGCTCAGTCTTGAAAGTGGGGTGGGGTGGGGGGGGTGGGGGTGGCGCAGTTTGGAGGGGGGAAACCCTTTTAAAAAAGGACTTTAACATTTTAGACCAGACAGTAGATCAAGAGGGTTTAGAGTTGCAAAGAGATGGACACCAGGAAGTATTTCTTTACCCAGAGGGTAATTAGCAAGCGAGTGGCCGTTAAGGGTACGCTGTAGTGCGCAATTGGGCTGCCACGTTCGCCTACAAACACAGTCACTCCGCCTCACAGTAAATCCCTCTAAACACTTTGGGACATCCTCCCACCGTGAAAGAAGGTTTACCAAACGCAAGGGTTATTATTATTATTATTATTATTATTAATAATATGAACTACCACTAACCAGCAGACAATAAGGAGTGTCTTTTCTCCAAAAACAGGTACATTTAGTAAGAGAATCTCCCTTCTCTCCACCCCACCTTCCCAAGTATCTAACGAGATGGATTTTTAAGAGTTTTACCATTTTAAGGAGTTCGGAGTGGCTCTGCTTTTGATCGCGAGCGAGGCAATTACAAATCAATTTTTGATGTAGAGAAAATGAAAAGCGTTGGGTCTGAATGTCACATCAAGGTCGTCCTTGCATTAGATATGAAACGCTCGCACTTGTCAGCCTGTCTATCCATCAGCCCTCGTTCAACACTCCCCCCACCCCCTCCACCACTGGTGGTGCCTTTTGAAGGCTTTTAAGTGCTAATATGCATTATTTATCATCAAAGCTTGAAAATGAGAGCAAAACTGGTGATTATATTCCATATAAATACAGACTGTGTGAAGTTTTCCGTGAATATCTTATGTCTGTTTCTCCCCATGTATCCTGGCTGTTTTTAGATCCTCCCCCCCCACCCCCCCCGCACCAATACAATGCTGTGTGGAGGAACGCTGCATTGTCAGAGGTGCCGTCAATCGGATGAGATGTTAAAACAAGGTCCCGTCTATGCCTGTTCAGGTGGATGTCAAAGATCTTAAAAAGCAAATGGAGTTTGTCCCAGTGTCCTGCCCAACAACTCGGGCTGTCGCGTTTAGCCTACAAACGCACAATCACTCCACTTCACAGTATATCCTCCTGACACAAAAGCACTCTACCAAATACGAGGATTAAAGGATTATTATTTTTAATAATATACACAGTCACTGCACTTTACAGTGAATCCTGTGAATGGCTTTGACACATCCTCCTGACTTGAAACCGCTGTGTCAAATGCAAGGATGATTGTTATTATTTATGATTACAATCGCTGGGCCGGCTGGTCCCAAGTCCCTGTCAGTGTTATTCTGAGCAGCAAACCGTTTACTATCAATTAATCTGCTCGCTAATTGTCTTTCGCCCTCACAATTAGTGAGATAATGTGTCGTGTGACTTACAGCTGTGGCCTATTTTGTTCATTTTATGAGCTTTGCCCGCTCAATTTGTCCACCTTATTTTGAACTAGGAGGACTAGGGGAGGAAAAACAGCCCAGGACTATACCGAACCATTAACCTAACTATTTGCAAATTACTGTTACCTGCCGATGAGAGGTGGGGGGTGGGGGGTGGGATGGACAGGAAACCAACACCAGGGGAGAAAGAACCTCCTTTCCCTTTCCAAGTAGGGCAATTCGAGCGTTTATATCTGAAATTAGTAGATTTGAATGCATTTCGTAATTGGAAATGCAGATTGGTGATAGCATTCTCGCAGTACGTCGAGAGAAAAGGGCGCTTTCAAAAATGTATCACAATGGAAAGTGCCCAGAAGTACTAAACTGGAAATGAAATCTCGGAATTGTGAAACATTTCATTTTCGAAAGCACATAGTTTCCCGAAGATATATAATTAAAGATAATGGAATATTTCTGATAAAGCGAAGAGCACATCATGAATTTCAAAGAGTTTGCGTCGTCTCTTTATTTTTGAAGCTTTCATTTCTTTGAAACTATCTTTTTATCGTCTCGGAAAATTGTATTTTGGGCGGCGGGTGTTGGGTGGGGGAGTGTGGGGGGTGGGAGTCAGCAAATAGAATATTCGTCCGATTAAAGTCTTTTTCTCCCTTCTTTTATTTTTTCTTACGATTTTTTAAAAGAAATATGGAATAAAAAAGGGCCAACAGCTTAGAATTTCTATTCCCTGAATTCCCTCCAGAATTCTGTCCGGAATTTTCCCAAATACTGGACACTCTTTCAATTTCTGTGGATCTGGTTATGATAAGTGATAATAGCCCTTTCACTTACCACATCCTGAAAACGCCTCGTTGCGCTTCACAGTGATATCCTGCAAAGAGTAGTGACTGTGTATTTTGCAAGCGAACACAGACGTCGGTTTGCAAGTGGCAATGCTACCACAAACAGCCGCGAAGTGGGCGACCCATTTTATCCGCGGCGTAAAGTCCGCGTGCCTCTTGTATGAAGTGGAATCCGAGTGCGTGTGAAATGTGTCAGCCTGGCTCAGTTAACAGCCGTAAGGTTGTGGGTTCAAGTCCCACGTCAGGACTTGAACTCGCAACGTCTTGGCTGACAATCCAATGCATCCCTGGGGGGAGTGTTGCTTTGTCGGAAGGTGCCATCTTTTGGATGAGAAGCTAAATCAACCTGTTCAAGTGGACATTAACAATCCCAGTTTCTCTCTCCCGGTGTCCTGGCCAACAATCCCCCAGTTAAAATTTGGAACTTCTTTTCAAGGCTGCTTGCGTGAACGTCGTTGCTGTGTGCCGGTTGCCTGCTGTGTTCACCCACAAACATGCACAGCGGCTACACTGCACAGTACAACCCGTGCAGCGCTTTGAGACGTCCTCCTGACGTGAAAGGATTATTATCAGTCGTAATACTGTTAAAGCATGAGACACTTTTTCAAATAACTAGACTGCCCCGGGTGCCGACAAGGTACTTAAATGTCAGAGATTCAAATGTGTTTGAAATACAATGGGGCATATTTATGCATATCATTTACAGCTCCTGTATTTCTGATTCAGCAGAGAGGATTTATAAATGACAGACTAGGCAGCCAGGAAGCGATCTTCTTTTGAAGAAAGGTCAGATAACAGAGAGCTAAAGCCTTGGGTAAAGCCGAAATGGAGTCAACCTCTTCATCTCCACAGCGCGCTCGGTGCAAAGTCGCACGGTTTACGCACTTTTAAGCGGAGGGTCGGGAAATGAAACTGAACGAACAGAATCACAAGGAAATTCCCAATAAATACAGCGATAGGATTTTACTTTTGTAGATTTCGGGTGCCTTAAAAAGGTGGCTCATTCGTCAGCACTCTCGCCTCTGAGTCAAAAGGTCGCATATTCAAGACCCCCCACGTCAGCGACTTTGAGCCTGATTGCCTTGCCTGACCATCCAGTGCAGTGTTGGGGGGAGTCGAAAATACAGCTGTGAGCAATTGGCTGTTGCGTTTCGCCCACAAAATACATAGTCAATTAATTTTACAGTGTATTCTGTGAAGCGCTTTGAGACGACTCAACGATGTGATAAGGTGCTCTGTCAAATATAAGGATAAATATTGTTTGTTATAACCCTTCTTTTCCAAATGTTGTTTACTTTTTTTTTTGCAGGTCAAAAACATCAGCCTGTCGGAAGGCGAGATGCTGACCATCGAAGGGCTGGACGGAGACGAGACGGTGGTTCTTGCCAACGAGTCCATCTTGATGAAGGGCCAGGTGATTCGCAGCCCAAGCAACCAGGTCTCCATTCACTTCCAGAGCTTCCAGCTCGGCAACCCAGGCTCCTTCCAATTCCGTTACCAAGGTGAGCGCTCGCACACCAGCCCAGCGTAGTGTGGGTAAGTGCATTCGCCTCGCAAGTGAGAGGACCTGGGTTTGATTCCCAGGCAGGGAGAAACCTTAGGCGGGTTTCCTTACTCCACTCTGCACACCTCTGTTCACCTCGCAGTGAGTAAGAACCCGGTTATTAGTCAATCGGCAGATCGCTTTCTGGGGGTAACAATCCCTGGGGAAAATAAAATTGGACCTTCAATCCACGACGGTTTGCGGGACATTGCTGTGCGCAATTGGCTGCCGTGTTTTGCCCACAACATATTCTGTGAAGCGCTGTGAGACGTAGCAACGAAGTGATAAGACGCCGTATCAAATCCAGGGATTATTACCAGCGCCTTGGGATGTCCTCCCGATGCTGAAAGGCGCTGCGCAAAAGGTAATTTGTTGTTGTTGTCGTTGTCAGTCGTCAGCGCGGTCACTAAATCCAAAGAAGCTACGTGTTGGTTCCTGGCTGCAGGCACGGCTGGAGTTACGGCTCGTAGTGTTGTCAGCTCACATCAGGACTAATCGGAGCAGCAAGCCGGCAGTACATTGGATTTAGATTTGTCATCTCTGTGCTTTGATTACCAGCAGTTGCCTCGGGAGATGAGATGAGATAGGCGCCCGGATACTTTTCCTTCCTTCCACATCACCATTCCTCAGCCCCGCAGCACAGTGCCATCTGCTGCCTTTCGCAATTCAGCGGAGTCTTGTTCTGTGAAGGGGGAAGAGACGTTTTCCCCTCCCCTCTTTAAGAGTCCGGGTGGGGCCCACGGGCGCTTCACTGGAACTTTAAGCGTCTCGCCTGCCTGTCCGCAACTCAGAATGGGTTCGGGAAAAGCGGGAAATCGCTCCCGCTTCTTCACAGAACCACGGAGTGGTGGGTTCAAACCCCCCGCCACCCCCCCCAACCACGTCTCTCTTGACCTCACAGACCGAACTGACACTCCAGCGCAGTGCTGGGGGGAGAGAGAGAGAGAGCACTGCATTGTCAAAGGCGCCGTCCTTCAGATGAGTCGTTAAACCGAGGCGTTAAAGATCTTTTTAATAGAGACGGGAGTTTGTCCACGGTGTCCGGTCCATCGATCGTTCGCTTCGTAGTACAAATCTCGTAGTGAGACGTTCGCTGCTGTGTGCAAACTGGCTGCCAGGTTCACCTCCTGTATACACAGTCACTACGCTTCACAGTAAATCCTGTGAAGCCCTGCGAGACGTTTCGACGACGTGATAAGGGCACGATATCGGATGCAAAGGTTGTTAATCTGGTATTGCTTCTGACAAGTGGCTGACTGACAACGAAGGCTAAAATAATCCGGCTCTGACCGACGCGGCTGACATGAGGTGACGTCAACGGCGCTTCCTGTAACCTGCGCAACGCTCGGGAAGTGAAATCAGCGGCGACTCGATGACCCGGAAGCCCTGACCAGCGTGTTTTTGGGGGTTTTTGTTTTTTTGGTGCTCCCTGTTCTAACTCGGAGAGCCTGTGCAGAGATTTGAAACCGGGGTGTGGAGAGAGTGGGGTTGGGGGGTGGGGGTGGGGGGGTGTAAGGGAGAGCTGTAAATTGACAGCAACGGGTTTGACATACAGGGGGAAGAGAGAGAAAAAAAACCAGCAAGCGTGCAGTTTACTGATTAAGCGCAGGGCAGAGCCGGAGACGGAAGCCGTGAAGAAAAATGCGGGATTTAATTTTTCTCCCGATTCCCTCAGGAGAATAACAACAACCAAACAAATGGGTTGCGCGGAAGCAAGATTTATTGCGAAGAAAATGGATGCACCATGTGACGTTGATTCACAGCTGCGTTAATTTAGCACACATTGCTTTGTGGTGCCTGTGCTAATTGGAAAAACACATACACCATCCTCTGTGTAAAGTCTCTCCTGGAGATGCTCTATTATAAAGAGGACGTTGCTGGATACACGCTTTCTCTCTCTCTTTTTTCCCTTCTTCTTTTTTCTTTTTCACAAGAGCGTCGCCTCCACTTAGCCTTTCTCCCGTCCTTCATGAAGCATTTAAGATAGTGAAAGGTTTCACGAGGCTAAATGGCGAGGGATTATTTCCGTTGGCGGGTGACTCTTTAAATAAGAGGGCATGAATTTAGCGGGGAGCATGGAGTGAGTTGTCGGGAGGATTTCTCTCTCTCTCTCCCGCTCTCTCAAACACACACACACTCATAGGCTTAGCTTAGCAATAGTATTAATTCTTACATTTGATATGGAGCCTTTCAAGTTGGGAGGACATACCTTCGCAGGATGTACTGTAAAGCGTGAGTGGGTTTTAAGGGGTCAACGTGGAGGGGAAATGAGTGGGGAGGAGGAGGAGGAGAGTGTATTTGATTTGGAGATATTTATAAGGGAATTCGATAAGCACCTGTGAAGGAAGGATGTTAGAGAGTTAAGGGGGAAAGAGAAAGAAGATGGGGTGGCTGAGGTCATTGGGGGGGAGTCAACAGCATCACGAATGCAGTGGATCGAAAGGCCTGCAGAATGAGTTGTAGATTTGCCTGGCTCAGGTGGGTGGATGGTGGAGGAGGGGGGGGTTGAGAATGGGTGGCCCTCAGTGGAACATATTTACAGCAGATATTTATGCCTCATGGAGACAGTCCTTGATCATCTGGATCGACCTTGCTGCTGAGTCGTATTTCATTCGGTGGCTAATCGATAAACATACAGACCTTGGCGATGTGTAATTACAATGGAGACTTCCCCGCCTCCCCTCTCCCCGTCTACTAACGGTGTGGGCATTGGATGTGTTAACATTTTAATCCATTTCACCCGGTTCTGAACGTTGACAGAAACTCTGGGGACTTGTAAAGACCGGTGCTGTCTACAGTACCATCGGAAAGGATTGTCTGCTTTGCACAGGAACAACGACCGTGAACTGATTGAAATGTCAACCACCATTTTTCGTCTGATCCATTATTCCCCAAATAAAATCTCTTCTGGCATCGCTCTGACTCGCTCGCTCCGTAGCTCCCTCTCCGTTTTCTAAACCTCTTTGGCTACACTTTTTCGGTCACATTCCTCCTATGCTCTTTGGCTTCTAGCCAACGTGGGGCTTTAACCTGCAAATACGTGAGCAGCCAGGTTCCTACTTACTGCATGAGGGCGCTGTATAAGTGCAGGTTGTTGTTGGTGGTGTTGGTGATGGTGGTGGTAGGGGTATTGCTCTGCACTTAATGCGTTCCATTCCATGAAGTACAGTCGATCTACCCATCTGCTCCGGGGCAGAAGCTGAACCAGACGCAGGGTGACACTCACGTGGAGCGTTATATTATAATAGACAACTTATCCAGTGGAGAAAAGACATTAAAAATTTATGGTGGGGATTTATTGAATGTATGTTTTAAGCCAGATGTTTATCCCCTTCTCTCAAGTTCTGAAGGATATAGACAGGGTCAGCGACAGTTGTCAAAAGATTGGCTCTGGCCTGCTGCTTTAATCTCCTCTCCCCTCGCTTTATACCGCGAGTCTGTGTAGATCTGAAGAGAGGGGATAATTGAATTTCCACTGATCCTTTTTTTTTATTACCGTTCTAATAATTTCAGGTCTGCCTTGTGATTCAGACACATGTAAAAGGGAACAAAACGTTAGTATGCAGGTACAGCAAGCAACCAGGAAGGTTAATGGCATGTTGGGGTTTATTGCAAAAGGGTTAAAATACAAGAGTAGGGAAATCTTGCTGCAACTGTGTAGGGTCTTCGTGAGACTGCACCCAGAATATTGTGTGCAGTTTTGGTCTCCTTATTTAAGAAAGGACATACTCTGCAGCGTAGATTCACTAGGTTAGTTCCTGGGATGAGGAGGTTGACCTATGAGGATAGGTTGAGTAAACAAGCCCTGTATTCTCTACAATATAAAAGAATTAGGGGTGATCTTATAGAAACATATAAGATTCTTAAGGGGATTGACAGAGGAGACAGTGTGAGACTTTTTCCCCTGTTAGGAGAATCTATAAGTAGGGGTCATAGTCGTAAGATTAAGGCCTTTTCAAACAGAGTTGAGGAAACTTCTTCATTCAGAGAGTAGTGAATTTATGGAATTCTCTACCCCAGAAGGCTATAGATGCTCAGTTCTTGAACGTATTCAAGACTGAGATTGATAGATTTCCAAAGAGTAGAGAGATTAAGGGATATGGGGACAAGGTGGGCTGATGGAGATAGGTTAGAAGATCAGTCATGATCTTATTGAATAGCGGAGCAGGCTTGAGGGGCCGAATGGCCTACTCCTGCTCCTAATTCCTTTTTCCTATGTTCCTGTGGAATCGACGGCAATTTCTATTTCAAAGGGGGCGTAATAATAATGATCCTTGCCTTTGATATAGTGCCTTATCACGTCATTGAGACGTCTCAGAGTGGTTTACAGGATATACTGTAGTCAAGTGTAGTGACTGCGTATTTTGTGAGTGAAACGAGGCAGCCAGTTTGTGCGGGTGAAAGAGAGAGAGCGCGAGAGCAAGCATTCCGTTCCAAAAGAGAATTTCCATGCATAGGTGGCGTGCATAGAAGTCTCAGTCTGATTTTGATACTCGTAAGCGTGTGACCGCAATAACAATTTCTCCCTCTTCCCCCTCCTCTACCCATTCAAGTGCTCTGAGACAGCACATGAAAGGGTGTTTGATAAACGCAAGTTGTGGCTGTGGCTGTGGATGCTGATTGATGAATGAATGAATGAATGAATTAATTAATTAATTGATTAATTAACGCACTAACGACTGGCTTTGGGAAAGACTTGACAGGACCAGTACAGAGCTAAAGAGCTGGCAGAGTGGAAGAAGAGGTGAGCTGTTTGCTCGTAGTGAGCTGTTTGCGAGCCTGGCTTGCTGAGATGAGGAGCGCTGTGAGGATTGATGGGCCAGTGTGGCAGCAATACATCGCTAGAACGAATGTTACTTAAATAAATTGATGCTTTCAATGCACAATGCCTCACTGACGTCCTCACTATATCATGAATCTGGGTCCAGAGGCGTTTGAGAAACAGATTGACATTCGCGA